AAGAGAAACTCGCAGCAAAAAATCCCTCAGCTAAGTCTGATGTTTTTGTGGAGGGAATAAAGAAAGCTGAATTTATATTTGCAGCAGTATTAGAATTTGTGGGGCTGCTAATGCCCAGAATGCAACATTTTTATAATCAGAATATCATATTCTCTGAATAAAATTGTGAAAGAAACCACCCGTGTGCCCTTGCAGCTTTTCCACAGTGTAGTTTCCATTGTTGAGTGGAATTCAAGCATAATAAGCTTGCCTTTCTTTTGGTTATGCTCCAATTGAGACACTTATTTTGCACAGATTGTCTTCAGGTCATCCAAAGAATAGTGTGTATTAAAATTGTTTCCAATCCATGGACACAAGTCATGTTGTCAGCCTGACCTGAAAGAGTTTCGGAGTAGATTTAAGAGTGGTTGAACCTGCTTGGCAACAGTTGTGTGACATGCCTTTGACATCAGGACAGCAGAAAGCTTACACATCTTCTGAAAACTCATCTTTCGACTTCAGTTTGTATCTTCTTGGTCGAATGCACTTATTGTAAGTCGCTTTGGATAAAAGCGTCAGCTAAATGCAATGTAATGTAATTAACCCTGTTTGTGTTCCTGATGTTCTCCATCCGTCTCTCCAGGTTCTTTACAACATGTTTTCCTTTCTGGCCGACATGCCAGTTGTTGAATCCACTGATGTGTTCCTGGGGGTGGCCAGGTTCTTCATCGTGGCGGCTGGAGGCATCCTCTTCGGTCTCCTGTTTGGATTTGTGGCTGCGTTCACCACATGCTTCACCCACAATGTGCGCCAGATCGAGCCCCTCTTTGTCTTCATGTACAGCTACATGGCGTATCTGGTGGCAGAGTGTTTCGCCATCTCCAGTGTGTTGGCGTAAGTGTAGGAGAATCATTTGGAAGTACAATAATGACATTTAGGATATCCTTAAAGGTCACCTATTATGCAAAATCCACTTTTTACATCTTTTATACATAAACATGTGTCCCCTGAAGAGATTCTGAAAGTTTCAGGAACAAAGATTCTCTCTCTTTTTGTCCTGAGCTATTTACATAAAAACCTGTCTGAAAATGAGCTGATCAGATTTTGGCCACTTTATGATGTCATAACGATTTTTTGGTTTGTGTAACTATTAACCAATCACCAACCAAGGTAACCCCCCCCCCCCACCTTATCACCTGAATCTCCTGCTAGAGCACCATTGAGTTATCTGTAACCAAATCTCTCTCAGAGGGGTGTGGGGAGGGGCTCCTTATTTTCATCTAAAGTAACAGACAGAGAATCAGCACTTTGGAAACAGGGCTGAAACAGAGGGGATTATGGGATGCTACAATGATCTGTTTGGTGTTTCAAGCCAAACACTTGAGACATATTAATGAAAAACAGTATAATAGGGGACCTTTAAGTTTGCTTATGATAATCGACCATGTGTTCTGCAGCATCATCACATGTGCCATCACCATGAAGCACTATGTGGAGGAGAACGTATCGCAGAGATCCTGCACCACCATCCGCCATGTGGTCAAGATGCTGGCCACCGTCTCCGAAACCCTCATCTTCTTCTTCCTGGGTGTCGTTACGATAACCACGGAGCACCGAGTGGAACTGGGCCTACATCGTGTTCACGCTGCTGTTTGCCTTCATCTGGAGAGGGCTTGGTGGGAGGCTTAAAATCAATTCTAAAAACTCTCCTCTTAAATGAGTGCTGTTTGTCAATTTCTCTGATTGTCTTGCAGGCATCCTGGTGCTAAACCCTCAGATCATCAACCCGTTCCGTACCATTCAGTTCACCTTCAAGGACCAGTTTGGCCTCGCCTACGGAGGCCTGCGAGGGGCACTCTGCTTCGCCTTGGTCTTCACCTTGCCCCGATAACATCAACAGGAAGAACCTGTTCGTCACAGCGTCCAATTGCCTTGTCATTATATTCCACAGTGTTCTTACAGGTGAGCCTGAGAACAACCTTCAATTGTGCATTTATCATGTTCAAAGTACATGTATTAGCTTTTTCTTTAATAACTTTGACAGTTACGTGTTTCTGTTTTTGAGGAACACGTAATTCTTAGTGGAAACCTCTTAGTGGAAACCTCTTAGTATGAAAATCTCTTAGTATGAAAATTGAAGCCAATTAGGAAGTGCCTTAGACCTGCATTATTATTTATTTTTTAAATAGTCAGAATTCAGTTCCATCAAAGATGTTTTTTAATTCACAATAAATGTGACGTAAATGTACACAAAGGAAACCACACATTTTGAAAATTTGACATTAAAGTCACTGTGATGAAAATGTCTGTGCAGCAATGCAAAGGAAATTATGGGTCTGTGCAGCAATGCAAAGGAAATTATGGAAGCTGGATCGTCTTTAGTCAAACACCGATATTTATTGAGAGAGAATACAGCCGGAGAGTTCACAAGGTAAATTCACACTTTCATGCAAAGCAACCAAATCAACTCGGAAGACAAAGGAGACAGAAACACAGATCTATACATGAAAAGAGGAGGGACCTATATTCCCGCCTGTCCCCCAACCATTACCAGACATCGGAACAAAGGCACCTTTGTATTGCAACTCCTCATGTTCCCAAACCCCTCACCCCCACAGGAAGTCAGAGGACCTCTTGACCTGTGTCCTCCTGAGGTTACACGCAGGATCACATTACAGGCAGGAGTATATGCGGTTTAACGAAAAGCATATCTTTGTGATTAACAGTTTCTCAGAAAGACTGAGAACCTCTAAATACACGGATCGGATTAAAATGTTCTCTGACAGTTTCACTCTTTTTATCAATTTATGATAACCAATTAACATTAGTCTAAGAATATTTCAGTCAATACTTAAATCAATAAGCGTCTTCAGAGTTGTGGGCTCACATACATCAATTACATCAAAAGTAAAACAAGATTGAAAACATGTCAATCACCATGATTGAACACAGTCAATCCTAATAGAAAAATCATCTCTCTTCAGTGTTTGGCATCATTTGTCAAAAGCACAATAATAAACACACATGAAATACAAAAATATAATAGCAAAATATATGTTTCAAAAATAAGATCTTTTATCATTTATCACTCAGTTAATCTCATTCATCAAACACAAATTCAAAATCAGCTTACATCTCAAAGATTTACTTCAAGGCAATTACTTATTAAAACACAATTAGAATTTAGGATTATAAGAAATCCAATTGAGGTATAAAATCAGAATCATGAGAGATCCAGCTAAGATTCCTAGTTAAGGTATAAATTCACAGTGATGAATCGATCAATCTGTAATCTGTAAAATTGCAGTGTCCTCAATCTTTAACATTACTTTACGTTTACTTCATTACGCTTTATTCAAGAGTAAGGCACTTAGTAGTACATATATTTCATTCAAATACATTTGTTCAAAATCTGAAAAGGAAAGAATCAGACATTTATTGTATAACAACCTGAAAAGGAAAAATCAAAACATCTGTTCTTTATTCAGAGTGCCAACTGTAATCAATATCAAAACATCTGTTCTTTATTCAGAGTGTCAACTGTAATCAATTTGTCAATCGCTGAATGGGGGTACCCATGTTGCAGAAACCGCGATGGAGACCCATGGGTCTGGAAACTCAGCGTCATACATCAACATTGTGTCATCTACAGTTGAATACCCCACTAGCCTCTGTGGGGCCTGGAGGGCAGTCTTGGCAACCCTTCGTATGGCTAATTTAACTACAGTGATCAAACAGATCACTAGGATTAGCACAACCAAGATAAACACTGAAACAGTAACAACAAATGTAACCAACCCCGCTCCCCAGGATCCAAAGGTTCCACTTAAATCCCAAATGTAAACCCATGAGTTTCATGCAATTCTTTTATTCCCCTAGCAGTATCATGAGCCATATCCATAACTTCAGGTGTAGCATCAGAGATGAAAGAACAACACTCAGATCCAATCACCTTGCATGTGCCCCCCTGAGCAGCTAGGAGAAGATCCAGTGCCTTACGATTCTGTAGTGCTACTGTCCTAACTTCCTGCAATTCTTTGTGTTCAGCTAACATCGCTGTGTTGGATACATTTAGATGGTGTTCTACAACTTTGGACAGTGTCACAATTTCCTGCTGAGTAACATAAATACCATACCAAGGCAAATATAGGCTAGCTATCTGTTGTCCTTGTGTAATGGACCTGCTGTTCCTGTGTAGAGAGGGAAGTATCGCTGCAATCTCATTAGCCTCTACTTTACGGATTAAAGGGATTAGGTAGGCTAGATAACAGGTGCCATAAAAAATGTCATAGGGCACACAGCCATACGCGTGATCCCCACAAACTAAGTAAACTCTCTGTGGGAGGGGAATTCTGGCTAAGTTTACCCTCACTATGGTATTACAGTCGCTGTGTCCCACATCTGGAGAGGTGTGAGATCCTACTTCATTCTGGAAACAGATGGACACATTCTTCCATTCATGCACCACAATTTGGGGGAACATATACTGAGCAGTCACGTGTAGGGGGCTTGCCTAAGGGTATTGGCTGCGTACAGTCATGTATTTTATTTTTAACCTCAACGGAGTCCACTGTTCTAGAGCCAAACCAGGGCACAACTGTTACCAAAGCTTCAACCAACAAAGATGGTGTGTGTGGTTGCATTGTACATGTTGGACTTGTAAAGTTAGCCGAACAATTAGTCTGAGCTAGAGCTAACTGGAATCTGTATTCAAAAGCTAGGTTAACATATTTCTTCACATATTAGTTTTAAAAACATCAACCGTTTGAAACCGTCAGGCAGGTAATTTTTATTTACTGTATCAACAATGAGAGAGACTAAGCCCTTGTACTGTAAAGGTTGCTCAGAGTCTATGGGGTAGGAAGGAGTGTAACAATCCTCAGCCTCATCGCTAATTCTGGATGCTATGTCATTCCAGCTCACTAGACCGTAGTCAGCTTTCGTGAAAGGAATTGGGCTAAACATGGGAGAATGCATGGATTCTGGCATATTTTGGCACAGCCAACAGTTGCTAACATTGCGTTCATGCGCGTAGTCTAACATTAAACTTACTGCAGAATTAGTTTTAGTTTGTTTAAAAGGAGTGATTAAGTCTGTTTTTGAAGAATCTACATCACCTCCTGATTGTTTAAGTGGAGTGGATAGAAAATCTGTTTTGCTATCTGGTCCAGTAACTGTGCATGCAGTGACACCTGAATTGGGAGCCTTGTAATCTGGTTTCCTCATTGTACATTTTACCTTATCAGTGTCTTGAACTGTTCTATAGTGCTACACCACAGTTCTGGGGGAATTTCTTCAATGGTGTTGAGAGCCATTCTTACCACCTCTGATGAGACCCTGAACCAATGGTACTGGTTCTTTGGATACATCTCCCACGTCGAGTAAACTAAGGACACAGGAAACACAATAATACAGTTAGATGAGTCACATATTGAAATTGGGCAGTTATAAGAAATAGTCTCTGATTTATGATCAGGGAGGGAGACAATCCTCCTGATTCTCCCTCCTTTTCTCTCTCTTAGTGTCTCTCGCACCATACTGAATGTCTGTGTGGTGATTGGATACAACCTGTCCTTGTCGCTAGGCACTGATTTGCCCGTTGGTGTTGTTTTGCCCTCAGGGTCTGGGCCCTGAGTGGTCAAGTCGTCTGCGCTCTTAGATAAGAGCACCTTATTTTCTCCCTCAGAGGGGCGAGAGCCCTCGCCACCTGTCGCTGGGATTTTCACAGCTTCATCTAGCAGGGCGTCCTTGGCCAGGTATAGTAAACCTAGAACGACTATGATGATGACTGCCTTCACATGCCAGCATCCGGTAGAGGAGAGAGACGACATCTGGAGGCGTGAATCCACTCCGCTCTACCTTGTACTCTCAGGGCTGTTCTGGTCACTATTAACACCTGGAAAGGACCTTTCCACCTGGGAGACAAAGCATCTTTTTCAAGCGATTTGATTAGTACATTATCACCAATCTGAAAAGGGTGGGTGGGCTCCTCACCAGGCTGGGGGAGCCTGTCAGCCACCTGCCTGTGAAACTTTCTCAACATGTCAGTTAGATATTTGACATAGTTAGTCATGTAATCATCTGTCCACAAAAGAGTGAGTTTGTGGGGTATTACTGGGGGGCTAGACCCTGTGAACATTACCCTTCCCATCAATACTTCGTGTGGGCTAAGCCCTGTCGTTGCATTTGGTGAGCTTCGGATGGAGCACAGAACTAGCGGCAGCGCGTCTACCCATTTTAGTCCTGTGGTCAACATTATTTTAGTGAGTTTCTCCTGTATAGTCAAGTTCATTCTCTCAACCTGACCTGAGCTCTGTGGATGATAGGGAACATGCAATTGCCATTTGAACCCTAACACTGTAACTAGACTCTGGGTTATCTTAGAAATGAATGCTGGACCTCTGTCACTGTTAATCCCTGCTGGAACACCAAATCTAGGGATAACATCTTTGAGAAGACACTTTACAACTGTTCTAGCGTCTTCTTTTCTGGTAGGGTAGGCCTCTAACCATTTGGAGAACTGGCACACTATTACCAAAAGATATTTGAATCCTTGGCATGGTGGCATATGCGAAAAGTCAATTTGCATATTTACAAAGGGCCCTGAGGGGGGCGGTAAGTGTTCATGCTGAACTGGACCACTTCTTCTTCTTGTCTGCTGGCATATCATGCATCTATCTACAAGGGTCTGTGTAGCTAGTGTGATGCCTGGAGCAAACCATTGTGACTTTATAATCCCATTCATCCCTCCTTTTCCTACATGTGATTTGCCATGTGCAACATGTGCCAAAACATGGAGGAATGAACGGGGACAGACCATCCGGACGTCTGGGTGGAGCCACAAGCTGGACTCAGCGTCAAGTGTACAACCTCGTCTTAGCCATAAATCTTTCTCCTTAACATCAGCGCGGGCTTGCATGTCCGCGACATCATTAAAGGAAGGCAAACAAATGGGTTCTGCGGGTTGTGTTGAGGGGCATTGGAGCACCATAGAAGAGCAGGAAACTGCTGCTTGTTTAGCCGCGGTGTCGGCTAACGCATTTCCACGTGAAATAGGATCATCAGAATTTGTGTGAGCAGCACATTTAACTACTGCTAGCTGTGCAGGGAGCAGGATAGCGTCTAATAGCTCAGCTACTAACGCATGATGTTGAATAGGCTTACCAGCCGATGTTAAGAAACCGCATTTTCCACAAGACACCAAAATCATGGCACACACCAAATGCATACCTGGAGTCTGTGAAAATGGTTGCAACTTTACCTTTAGCCAAAATACATGCCCTAAGCAGAGCATACAACTCTGCAGCCTGAGCCGACGTGCCATTTGGCAAGGCCCGGCTTTCTAAGACTTCCCAGTCGTTCACAACAGCATAGCCTGCTAAGTGTACTGTGTCAGACGGCCTGCTCGCAGACCCGTCTGTGTATAGAATCATATCTGAATTAGGGATAGGAGTTTGCAACATATCAGCTCTGGGGGAAGAAGACATGTCAATCGTTGTGACGCAGTCATGTGTTATTTCAAAATCTGGAATTGGCACCAGCGTAGCTGGGTTTAGGGGGGGAGCGTTTAAGAGTGATGTGTGAGCTTGAAAGAATTACCGCTTCATAACCAGATCGCCTTGCTGCCATCATATGCTGAGTAGCAGAGGTGTTCAGAATATGCAAAACTGCATGTGGGACATGTACTACACAGTCACTGGCCAGTACAATAGGAGAGGATTGTTTGATAACAATTGCCACTGAGGCTACTGCACGCAGGCATGAAGGCATACCAAGCACCACAGGGGAGAGTCGAGACGAATAGTATGCCACAGGCCGAAAATTAGAGCCATGCTTCTGTACCAAAATGCCTGTTGCAAAGCCCCCCTTTTCATGGATGTGTAGATGAAAAGGTTGATGGTAATCAGGGAGCCCCAGGGCAGGAGCCGATGTGAGGGCCTGCTTTAAGTCCTGAAAAGCTGTGTGCATGTCCTCAGACCATTGAACAATGTTAGGGGCGGCCTGCAGAGTGGCAGCACGCAGGACGGAGTCCATGGCAGCGTACTCGTATATCCAATGTCTGCAGTAGTTTGCCATGCCCAAGAAGGAAAGCATGTCCTTCTTTGTGCGAGGTGGTGGCACTTTGTTCAAAAGACAAATCCTTGCTGGCGAGAGGAGATGGTGTCCATCCCTCAGAATGTGACCTAAATACGTGACCTCAGTCTGGCAGTATTGCAACTTGGCCAGGGATGCTCTGTGTCCGCATTCAGAAAGTCTTTTCATGAGCAGAATGGAGTCGATGCGACAGGTGTCTTTGTTAGGGGACGCAATCAACAGGTCATCAGCATACTGAAGCAAGGAACTATCTCCTGTAAGGACCAAAGTGTCCAGATCTCTCTTAACAGCTGCTGCGTACACAGTAGGCGATTCAACAAACCCCTGTGGGAGGCGCGTGTATCAGAGTTCCCGTTAGAATATCTTTTCGCCGGTCAACATGTCCGTTAAAGTTTAAATCTTCCGGACAAAATGAGAAAAGTGCCGGTCAAAGGTCATCTTTGTTATTTATTGAGCTTTAAAACAAATTGATATGATTCAATATTAAACTAATTATAGTAGATTAACTACATTATTCAAAAGTGAACAGTAATTTACAATAACACGGGAATAATAAACGGAGCGCTCTCTCCCTCTCCTGACAGTCCGTCAGTATCATGCAGCTCGCGGATCAGTAATGAGTGACCCGACAGTGAAACTAAACATATCTATAACTAGTTACGGTAGTTTGAGAGGTAGGCTAATTAAAATAGCTACGTGTGATATTCTAACCTGAAGTGTGTGTTTTGTCCGCTCACCGCTGATCATGCAGAGCTGCGTGTCGACTCGTCAGCAGCAGCTGATCTCTCTCTCCCGTCAGATTAGACTTTACTCGCGTTCAGTGGCGTTTCTAGGTGTACAAAACTGGGGGGGCAGAAAGAGGTCGGGGGAGAGAGAGAGAGAGAGAGAGAGAGAGAGGGGGGACAGAGAGAGGGGGGGGAGGAGAGAGAGAGGGGGAGTGTCAAATTACATACTGAAGACCACAGGAGCAACACTGTGAGCGCATACATTTACGTACACAGCGTGGGGATGTCATAGTAATGCACCTTCATACATGGAGTAAAGGTCACCATCACAAAGTAATTCTTAACAATAACAACAACCGTAATGCTTTAGCATTAAAACACCATAGACTGTAAATATAAGGAAAACACAGACACTCATCATCGAGGTCACAATATCAATCGATCCAGCAGAGGCAAAACACAGAAGATCAACAAATATATGACATAAATGAACTTACCAAAGCTGAAGGCTCACTTGAAAAGAAAAGCGGCACGGCGGTCCTTCCTCTGACAGAATGTGTCTATCACTTTGGGGATGAAGTCCTGTAGTTGCTGGATCAACTGGCTTTCAATTGAAAGCATGGCCAATGCGTTAAGTCGCGGCTGTCCCATGGTGTTGCGAGTGAAAGTCTTTATCCTTTTGAGGGTGGAAAAGTTCCTCTCTGACTCGGATGTCGTCATCGGAGTTGTCACTATTATTTTGACCAAAATAACAGTCTCAGCAAACGTTTCCTCCGCCGTATGCCTCACTTATGGTGACCGCATCCCATCCTGGTTGTGCGCGTATATGCTTCATACACTGAAGTAGTGCATCTCGGGTCTCCCAAACCGCGTTCACAGTTCTGCTTTTAAAGTTCCATCTCACAGCCGGTGGCCGTGGGATGCGTCTCTGTGTTGCCTCTGCAAGAGCTGCAACACGTTTTGGAGCACCGGAGAAAAAAGTGGAAAAAGCAGTTAGATCTGCAAAAAACCCCTTCAGGATGCTCATCCTTGCTGAACACAGTTGCTGCAGGGTCAGGTTCAGTTGGTGGGCATAGCAGTGAACAAACTGAGCGTTTGGGTACGTCTCCTTCATCACCGTCTGTACCCCGCGCACGTTACCGCTCATGACGGCCGCCCCGTCATAGGTCTGAGCGATTAGCTTTTCTTTCAGCTTCAGGGGTTCCAGAACAGCCTTGATGCTGTTAGAGAGACCTACACCAGTTTTGTCCTTTACTTCCACAAACTCCAAAAAACGCTCTGTAACTGTGAGGTCAGGCATAATGTATCGCAGCACAATCACCATTTGCAATTTACAGGAGACATCGGTTGTCTCGTCGGCCTGGACGGCAACAAATGATGTGTTGTCCACTTGCTTGGCTATTTCCTCCCTGTACACATCATACATGCAGTCCAAGAGTTCATTCTGTATGGTGCTTGATGTCCCTTTGAAAACAAGCTGAGCTTCGTAGTGCCGTTGAAGCCTGGAATCGCCCTCACACATTGTCTCGAAAATTGACCTGAATATCCCTGGATTCAGAGAGTCCGCCGACTCGTTGTGGCCCCGCAGTGCTGTCTCACATTTCCCACACAGTTTAATACAGGTGATGATCCGACCAAGCACGTACCTGTTTTCTTCCACCTTCCTATTATGAGAATCAATGCCACGTCTGTAGGCGCTGTCAATCTGAGCTGCAACATTCACCCTTCCAAGTAATCCCAATTTTACGGCATTTTCCAAATGACTGTTGCTGCTCTCAT